TACCCCAGCCCACCCAGAGCCCTCCTTCTTCTGAACAACCCCTCCATGTATCCTCAATGTCACCAGATTGTTCTTCTGACATTTCATATCCAAGTTTTTTCATGTCCATTGGTTCTTTTCCCAGTTAGATAATGAGTTCCTTGTGTTTGTGGTTTCCAGTAGATGCTACTGTGATGCAAACACAGCAGATAAAATGGGAGATTGATCAGTCTCAGGGGCTTCTATCTTGTCCTTAGGGGTCTCCTGCATCACTTATTTTTAGTATGACATAAATATGCGGGCTGGACTACTGGCTCCAAGCGCACCTAGGATGAGAGAGCAGAGGCAGGAGATGGAGGTGAAGATGGGTATTGAGGAGAAATGGAGGAACCACTCATGGGTGGGTGTGTTGCTGTGTGGAATTAAGGAATCACTCACTGCTAGAGCTGGAAGGGATCTCAGAGATCAGCTTGTTTGGTCTCCTCATTTTACAGGTAAGGAAAGTGAGATTTAGTGGTACTCCTAAAGTTACACAACAAATGGGCCCTTTTCCATCACCTCTGACCCGGTTCAAGTGTTGTGCGTCTTTCCCTTGGACTATTGTATTGCTCTATGTGGCAGACGATATTTTCCCAAGGTGGTCGTGCCAATACATATGCTTTTCTTCCAGTGTGACAGCAACACTCCTCCACTGAGAGGTGGGGGTCTATGTTGGTTCTCCTTGCATCTGATGAGCCACGATTACAGCAGAAGTTGCTTTATGTGATTTTTTAAGGCTAAGTTACTCAAGGTAATACAGCTGCTGACTGGACTTCTCTTGGGACACTGGCCCTTGGAACACAGCCACCATGCTGTGAGGGAGCCAAGTGGCCACACAGAAGGGCTTCATGTAGCTGTCTGGCCCCAGTCCTAGCTCAGGTCCCAGCCAACAGCCAGCACCAACCACCGAATGTAAGTAGATGAACCTTCCAGTCTCTAGTTTGGAGTAAAGCAGAGAAAAGTGGTCCTGGTGGAAACTACCCCAATTGCAAATCCATGAGCAAAATATATCCAGTTAAGCCACTGGATCTTGGGATGGCTGTTACACAGCAATAGGTAATGGAAAAACCTCATATCCACCTCATTTTCTCCAAACTATTTTACATGTGTCATTCAATCAATAAACCTTTTTTGGATACCTACTCTTTGCCAGGGTCTGTACAAAGACAGACACAATATCTACATTCATGGATTCTGCATTCAGCTGCCACTACTGTTTCCTTACTCTTTCCTGCCACTACTGTGTCCCCTTTGCAGACAGAATAAAATTCATAGTCCTCAGCCCTCTGCAAATGGTGCCAGCCTGCTGCTCCACTGCCACCACTTCAAACTATTTTGTCCCCAGACCCAATCTCCATTCTCCTTTCTTTATATATCTTTATGTTGTCTCTTCTATCTGCAATGCTTCTGCCCTGCCCCATCTCCAACCTTCAAGGACCTGCTCTGAAATCTCCTTCCCTGGCAAGGCCCTCCAAGACTCCTCCGGTTGAAATTAACTGACACCTCCTCGTAATCCCACAGCACTGACTGCAGACTGCAGTTTCTGTCTGCCCACCGTCTCCTCAAAACTCACTAGACTGTGAATCCCTGGAGGAGGGATCCTGGCTTATCTCTCTTGTCCCCCAGCAGTGTCTGGCACAGAGCCCAGTACTTAGAAAGCCCCCAGTAAACACTTGTCGATGCAACTAGTAGCAGAACCAGAATTAGAAGTCAGATCCCCCGAATCCTAGTCTCCAGGGCCTTACTTGCTTCTTTTGACATCACAAAGGCAGGGAAAATGTCCCACCAAACGTGGGGATCAGGTTGTCCAGAGAAGACCTTGGAATGTGCCAGGGGTTGGCGGGATTGCTACATGTGGAGCTGCAGAGGCGATGAGTGAAGAGAGTCCTGGCTTCTAGCTAGGGGTTTCAGGCGAGTTCCTTCCTTCCATCCTTTCTTCCTTCTTTCTTTCCTTCCTACTTCCCTTCTTTCTATCAATAAGCCCTGATCATCCACTTCTGGAGGGGAAACATGCTGTTTCTTTGATTCTTTTCTCCTCCAACTCCAGTTCATGTCTGAAAAAAATCTCTATTCTAGGGACCAGTTGCACAGAAAAACAAAAAGCTCCACCATGTTCAAGCATCAAGGGACTGCTCATGCTGTTCTTCCTCCCCCAGGGTTCCCAGGAACCATTGCTCTGTAAGCTGTCTCTCCTGTGCCCAGCTGACTGGAAAGCTTCCCAGTCCCCTGTGGGTAACCCCAGGATCTCCTGGGCCTGACTTTGGTGGTGTCTTGCCTGGCCTGCTCCTTGGGGGACCTCTGGCAGAGCAGGCTTCCATTTCTCTTTTTCCTTCCAAGATGTCCTGGCTCCACGCCTTTGGACTGAGCAGGAGCAGAGAGCAGGGTGGGCAAGATGCTTTCTGCAGACTTTTCTCCCTAAATTGTTTCTTTTTGGGAGCTGGGAGGAGCCTAGATATCTCACTGTAGCCTTTCTCTTCCCTCAGTCACAGGCAGGGTGCGGGAGAGCTCTTCCCAGGAATGGTCTCTGAAATGGCTCTTGGAGCTGAGATGGGGGTGGGGCAGATTCTAGAGGCTTAACAGCCCAGCTCTTGGTATTAGGGTTGGACACTTTTCTCTTTGTCCCAGATCTGGGGGTAGCAGAGGTGGGAAGTTGATGGCAGTGGGGGCTTCTCCATCAGCTCATCTGAAGGCCCAGAAACGTTGCTTTGGGGAGAGCTTGCCCCTTCTCACAGCTTCTCTTCCTCAGCTCAATTCTTGAGTGTGGGGGCGGCTAAGTGGGTCTGCCTTCAGGCCTCCAAGGAAGTCAGAAATCTACATTCGGCTTTGACTTCTGAGTATGTGGAGTGGGTTGGGGGGAGAGAGGGAGAGATCTGGCTCTCCTCAGCTTGAGGGAGCAGCTCGCTTCTTGCCTCTGTGCACAGAAGGAGGGCTACCCTGTGCCTGGGCTCCTCTCTGTTTGGGAGGATGAAGGGCTCCTCTGACTCCTTTGTCTTCCCTTTGGGATAAGAGCAGAGGCCTGCCCCAGCAACGTGGGTGCAGGAGTGGAGGAGAGCTGGCCAGCTCAGATGAGTGGCTCCTTCCCTTCAGGGACTGGCTCTCCCTCTCCTTTGGTCTGGAGAGAGGGGGAGACCACAGATGCCCCTTTCCCTTCTCGCTCTCCCATGCCCATTCTCAGCTGCTGGCCTTTGCCCACTTTCTCTCCATCCCCTGGCCTGGACAAGAGGACACTTCACTCATACATGAATCATCCTGGATTCATAGCAGGCAACCCAGCAGCCAGGGGTGGCCGTGGGGCGGGGCGGGGGCTGGGCCAGTCATGGACTGGGTTCTACCTGGAACCCAGATGTGTTGATGCACCTGATGCCAAGTCACCAAGGAGGGGTAGCCTGTGCTGTGGAAGGCCCTAGGCCCCCTGGGGGGTGAATGAGGAAACTGCTGGCAGTGGAGAGGGCCTAAGGAATAACTGCACAGGCAAGAGCCTCTGGACTTTTTTAGAATCAGCTGGTGGAGCCACCTCCTTCTCTCCCACTGGCTGCCTCCCTGAGTCACTGCCCACCCACCAGCAAATAAAAAAGAGTGTCATCTGCTGGCCAGTGGCCCCATTTGGCCCCAGTGTTTGCATCTTTTTGCTCCTGGGTGGAAGGTGAGAGTCCGGGTAGGGTGGTCTCACTATGACAGTTCTTTCTGCGCCTTCCTCCTTTGGGACTCCGCTTCCTTCCTTGTCCTTTGTTCTTCCCCTCCCCCACAACCCATGATGGTTCTCGCTGGTGACAAGACCCAGCCCCTGCTCCAAGGACAGAGGCAGCTGCAAGCCCTCAGGAGCCCCCACATGGCCCCATCCATCTAGACAGGTCTCTGATCCGGCTGCAGGGAGGGGACCCTCGGCTGTTCAGCTGCGACTCCTCCCTCCCTGCCCGCCCACTCAGCTGTCAACACTCGCCTCCCCGCCCTGGCCTTCCCGGGCCCCTGCCTGACTGCTAAGACCGAGGACATTGCGCCCGGAGACCCTCACTCAGACCCATGCAGGCGATGAGCAGGCGGCGGGCAGACACCCCGCCTGCCCTTGAGCATCCCCAGGCCTCCTTGCCTAAATAAGGGAGCCGCAGCTGGAGCGAGCCAGCTGGCCGCGGGGAGGGGCCTGCGGCTAGGCCAGGGCTTTCCGAGGGGCTGGGCCGCGGCCACCGCCGAAGGGCCCCGAGCCCGCCGATTGGGCCTGCAAGGCTGGCCCCGGGCTGCCGGAGGAGGGCGGGCCGCTGGCACACGGGGATCCCCCGGTTGGAACTTCGCGCTCAGGGACCTCTCTTTGATCCCGCAGCTAGGAGGCCGCAACTGCTGTCAGAATGTCCCTCTCTGTGCGGCTTCTCTGCAGAGCCCCACAGAGGGCTGTGTGTGTGTGTGTGTATGTGTGTGTGCTGGGGCAGGGGGCGTGCCTCTTCTAAATTTCACCCTTCCTTATTTAAGATCTCTGCTGGTCTGGGACCTCCAGATTGTTTTGCTTTTCCTATTTCCAGGGTCTCCCTTGACCCCGGACTCGTCTTCGCAGGGCCCAGGCCTTGCCCGGGTCACCCACAATAGGCACTGAGCGCATGCTGTGTGTACCAAGCTGGTGCTCGGCGTGGTGGGGAACCAGGGCATAAGGACCGGCCTTTTCCCTTCAAATCAGGTTTCTTAGCCGCTAATCTGGGGTGGGGGTGGAATCCCTTCCCCCCTCCCGGCCGCCTACAAGCCGGCCATCACACCTGTCCTCACGGTTCCCCCTGTCTAAGGGTCCCTTCCCCCTCTTCGGGGCGCGCGAGTCCCGGGGGCTCCCTGGCAGAGCAAGGGGCTGGCGCTGGGGGAGCACTCGGCGCGGCTCAGCCAATGGGAAGGGCGGGCGCGAGCGGTGGGAGGGGGGAGAGGGCGGCGCTGCGGGCGCGCGGCAGGCGGGAGGGGGCCGGGAGGCGGGGGCCGGAGCCGGAGGGGCGCGCGCCGCATTAACCCTTCCGCGGCCGGGCCGAGCCGCAGGCGCTGCCCGAGCCGCGGGCGCCGGAGCGGCTGTCGGCGCGGCGGCAGGCGGGAGCCAGGAGCCCGGGGCTCGGGCTGGCGGAGCGCAGCGCGGGGACGCGGCGGAGCTGGCCCCGCGGCTCGGCGGGGGCCGGCAGACAGGTGTGCCGGCGGCGGGCGGCTGGCGCTCAGGCGGCTCCAGGCCGGGCCCGGGGTCCGGAGCTGGGAGCCGGGAGCCGAGCGAGGACCCGGCGCCCGCAGTCCAGTCTCGGCCCCGCCCGTGCTCGGCTTGGCCGCGGGGTGCGGGGACCACGGCCCGGCCAGGCCACCCGAAGCCTAGTGCTGGGCCGGGTCGGGCCGGGGTGGGTGGGGGCCCGCCCGGTCCGCCCATGGGCTCAGGATGCCGGTGCGGAGGGGCCACGTCGCGCCGCAGAACACCTTCCTGGACACCATCATCCGCAAGTTTGAGGGCCAGAGTGAGTGGGGGAGGGGGCTGGGCGGGGAGGGGGCTCTGGGGGCGGGCCGAGCTCTTCCGAGTGTGGATGGGGGGGCGTGCCCGGGCCGAGTCCATCGCCAAGTGCGAGTCAGTGGAGCCTGGTGGGCCCCAGGCTCTAGCGGGGGACGGCTGGGGCAAGGCTTGGTGCACCGGGGCCGTGGGCACCGGGCCAAAGGGCTTGGGGCGGGAAGCTCAGCTCAGGCTTTTGGGATCAGAGTGTGTGTGTGACACGCCGAGTGTGCAGGGAAGGGACGTGGGATGGATTGTGCAGGTGTCCCCAACTCTGGGTGCCTGGACGTGGATGGGGCTGTGTGCAAGGGCATAAGAGTGTGTATGACCCAAACCCTGGGATCCCGAGAGTCCAGCGGGCACACTGATCTTGCCAGATCTTGACTGTGTTGTGCCTGAGGGACTAGAAAGCCGTGGATGCAGGGTCAGCCCATAATCTCCTCTTGTGTGTGTGCCGTGTGTATGACCCCGAGCCCATGTGTCACCCATGAGTTAGACCCTGTATGGGCGGTGGGGTGGTGCCTTTGACAAGGCTGTGAGCTTGTGGGCTCTGTGGAGACAGGGTGTCCTGGTGCTAGAGCTGGGCTTTGAGGGTAACCAGCTCCCTGTGGTACCCTCAAGTTGTGGTTTTCTTGCCCTGGGCACTGTCACCTAATTCCCTTATGGGGACCGGGACTACAGCACCCCTAATGCCTGCCTGATAGGGAGGCTTCTAGAAGGGTCCCAGATTAGGCAAATGTCCTGGGTGTGGGTTTGCACCCAAGCAGCATTCATGTGCCTGTCCCTAAGGCTGCATGAGCCACAGTGGGTGTGACTGCCAAGGGCCCTGGGAGTTGGGAGAGGATGACATTCCTTGCCCATGACCCTGTGAGCACAGGACAACTCGTGCTTGTAACCGTGGTGGCGGGAAGGAGGAGTCAGTCCAATGGTCAGTATTGTGTGAAGCTGAGGAACAAGATGATCCTGAGGGGGTGGAGACAGTGACACTGGTTGAGGGCCTCCCTGAGAGGTGGGGGTGGGCCCAGGGGGAGGCTGTGGGCGGGCCCATGGGGAGGTTGGGAGGGGTATGGGGGAGAGCTGGCTTCTAGCCCTGCCTTTGCCACTGACTGCCATGTGACCTTGAGTGACTCTCCCCTCTTTGGGTCTCAGTTTCCAGGTCTGTGGAGGAGGGGCAGGCTTTCTGTCCCATCCCTGTATTCCAGGATCTCAGTGAAGGGTGTGTGTGGGGGTGGGGCATGCCTTCGAAGAAACTTCCTCTTCTCTCCGAGGCCTGGGACAGAGGACAAGGGGTGATTTTTCTTCTATGAAGCTGAGGTGTGTGGCTGGGCCTCTGGACTGCCTTGGACTGTGGCAGAGCTGGAGGCTGAGTTAGGGGGTCTTTTCAGGTGACAGGAAGCCCTGACTCCTGGAACTGATGGCTGTCTAGGAGGTCTGGGGGTGCTTGGGAACTGGCCAAAAGATGACCCAGTTCCAAAAAGCAACTTCCTGGGGGCCAGGGGAAGGGAGAACCGAGAAAGGTGGGAGGAGGCCAAGTCCCGATGGCCTGGGCCTACCTCAGGGTACCCTGCTGCAGCCCATCCTTGCACGTAGGATTGCCTAGGGCTGTAACCTGAGGGCTTTGCCTGCTGGGGAGGGAAGGGGAAGAATTCCAACTGCTACTGAAAGCCCCAGCATTAAAGGCCAAAGTGGCCAGAAACTTCTGTTTAGAAAAAGCTCTTATCCCAGGAGCATCTTGCCTGGCACAAGTGAGGCTGCTGCCTGCCTGCTGCTCACTCGCCAGCCTGGCTCTTGGGGCAGGCCTGTAGTCGGCGAGCCAAGTCTGGCCGAAATGGAACCATGGGGGTGCTCATCCTGGATGAGGCCAAACTGAGGAGGGCCTCACATCCCTGGGCAGGTCCCCTATCTTGGGTCTGTTTTCCTACAAGTGGGGCCAAAGTCTCAGGCCCCTCCCAGGCTCCAGGTACTTCCAGGGTTTGGAGCTGCAGGTCCCTGTCTTTGCTTCCTATGACCTTGGGTTTCTGCCTGTGACCCTCAGCTTATTCTTCTGCCTCTGCCAGACCAAGGTTCAAAAGCTGGCTCTGTCCTTTACAAGCTGCAAGACTTGGGCATGGTGCCGAACTTCTCTGGAGTCTTGGTTTCTTCATCTATAAAAGGAGGATAATGACACCTACCTTATGAGGTTGTCAGAGGACCAAATGAGATGCAGCGTCCTATGTGTTCAACGTGTAACTTCCCTCATCCTCTCTGGCACACCCACCCCTCAGCTCCTGACTGTCCTTGTGGGGTGGGGGTGGGGGGGTGGGGTGGGGTGCAGAAGTTCCAGGGGTTACTGACCTGGTAGGATCCTCAGATAATTGGGGAGTGATTTCCTAGGGAGCCTCAGGATAAGGAGTGGCTCAGGGAGCGCCCCCCAGTCTGGAGAGCAGGGAAATTAAAAGCAGAATCCAGTGCAATCCGGTGCAAAGGGAATCCTGGCCGCCATCTCTGGCCTTTCCCAGGCTCCCTCTCTAGGCCCAGTGTTTATCCCTCCGCTGCGGCTGCTGACACGCGTTGCTGACACCCGCCAGGCTGGCCTCAGCCTCAGGCACGGAGGAGGCAGCAGGCTGCTGGCGGCCTGCCCGGGGGAAGCCACGCAGCCCGCCTGTGGTCCAGGCGGAGGAGGGGGCGCGCCGCGCGGCCGGACCAGGCCAGGCACCTGTATCCGGGCTCAGGCACAGCTGCCTTCACCCCCTGCTGGGGACCCCAGTCCCAGCCATGCTTCCTGTGGCGGGGAGTCCCCGGGCGGCTGTGTGTGAGTGGAAAATGTGGGGAAGGGCTGGGAGTCCCCGATGCTGGGGTCCCCGCTCACGCGCACTCTCCTCCCCGCCCCCCAGGCCGTAAGTTCATCATCGCCAACGCTCGGGTAGAGAACTGCGCCGTCATCTACTGCAACGACGGCTTCTGCGAGCTGTGCGGCTACTCGCGGGCCGAGGTGATGCAACGACCCTGCACCTGCGACTTCCTGCACGGGCCGCGCACGCAGCGCCGCGCTGCCGCGCAGATCGCGCAGGCACTGCTGGGCGCCGAGGAGCGCAAAGTGGAGATCGCCTTCTACCGGAAAGATGGTAGGCGCGGGCCGGGGCGGGGCAATGACGAGGGGCGGGGTCAAGAGGGGTGGGACCACGGCGAGGGGCAGGGTGCGTGGGGGTGTGGGGGCGGCTGGAGAACGCAGCGAGCCCGGGCAAGGTTCTGTGGGGGCGTGACGCGGGCTGGGGTCCTGCGGTGTGCCTGTGGGAGGCGCGGTTCCGGGGCCTGCACCTCACTCTGCTGAGATGGTTTTCAGGGGGACAAAGGAGTTGCTAGGCTGTGGATCTGGCTCCTCTGGTCCTTTTTTTCCCTGGGCAGGTGTGGGCACCTAGAGCAAGTTGGACTAGAGTTAGACCGAGCTGGGATGGCAGGTACAGGCGTGGATGGAGGTTAAAGGTCAGGCTGGCAGTTGGGCGCTGACCTCCGGCCACAGGCCCCTAGCTGCCTTAGGGCAGTTGGTGCCAGGTGACAGGTCTGGGAGATGTCACGGAGGGACAGGAGGGCTGCAGGACTCTGGCTTTCTCTGCTGTCCCCCTCCTGCCCTGAGCTTCAACAGCACCTGGGGGAAGTGAGTGCCTCTCCTGCAACCTCAGTTCCCTTTGTCTCAGCTGTCGAGCGCCCTGCCCTGCCACCCTCTCCTGCGCCAGGTGTCTTTACTCAGCCACCGCCTTCCAGCACAGCTGCTCTGGGCTTCCGGAGAGCGGATAAACAGAGCCCGGGGTGGGGCTGCTCCCACACCGTGAATGCCCTGTTGGGGTGGGCTCTGGTCAGGGTGGGCAGAGCAGGAGGACTGGGGTCCCGCGGGCAGAATCCTGCTACAGAGGCAGCTCTAGAATGTGTGCAAACCTTGCTGCTTCCTAGTGTGTGTCCCATAAGCATTTGCTCAACGCCTGTGAGCCTGGCAGGCGCTAGGCTCTTGGAGATGGGCAGGACAGACGAGGCTCCTGCCCTCAGGGAGCTTGTCTGCTGTAGACAGTGAGCACACTCTGTTTTCTGTTTGGGACCAGGCCAGCCAGCCCCATGTACCAGCCCTGTGTGCTCAAGGTTGTCTGGGGTGACCCTGCAAAGCCTTGCATCCTCCGGGCTGTGCTTTTGCAGGCGTGCACAGTCTGTGGCATCACTGGACAGCACTAGAGCGGGCACGGTCCCTGCCTCCTGTGGAAGAAGGTTTGCTCACAGCAAATCAGGATTCCAACTGGCAGGAGGCAGGGGCTATGAGGCTAGACTTAAACCCTGAAGGCAGTGGGTGGTTTCTAGGGGCTAGACACTGGGTCAAATGCTTTCCTTCTCTTATCTCATGCACTCTTCACAACGCAGGGAGGTAGACACTACTATTGTCTTCATCTTGGGGGATGAAGAAACTGAAGTTCACACAGTCACATAGCTAGAAAATAGCAGTTGGGAACGGAGCCCACATCTGTCTGACCAGAGTTCTGTGCGCTGTGTTCTGTTATATATTGAAAACGATACCAGATAGCTACAGGTCTATCTGTACGCTGTACATTATCTCATGTGAAATTTTATTTTAAAAGTTTGCCAACCACAGGTGTAATGAAGGGACTATGAACCCGTAAGTCCTGGGTTTGTGTCTAAGACGGGGCTGGAAATTATACACTATTGGACAAGTTGGTTGACTTCCCTGGGCCTGTTTCTACTTCTGGGATAACGTGTCTCACTTCGGACCTTCACAAGGGTGCTGGCCTTTCATAGAGAGTGCCTGCCACGGGCCGTCCTCTGTAAACACGGTGCCAGTTCCACTACGGATGTAGCTGTGCTGGGGATTTGGCCTCTTGGCAGCAGAGGCCGAGGGCTCTTTCCTTTGGCTGTGGTATGTGTGGAGTGCTCTTAGGGGGAGCTGGACCTCCCTCCTGGTCTAGGCTGGTCCCTTCTGGAGAGGATGACCATGGGCCCCCTTCTGCAGAAGAGTTATTGTGGGATCACCTAATCCAACCCATTCGAGTTGCAGGTGGAAGGATAGAGAAGCAGAGGTCTGATGACCAGTGAATCAGTGGAAGGAGTGGGATTAGAACCCAGGTCCCCGGCCCAAGTTCAAACTTGTCCCCTCTCCAGGTTACAACTCCAAAACATGGGGCTGTGACCCAGAAAACTCTATGCCAGCCATCTCTGTCTGTCCCCTTCTTCACTCTCACCTAGTTTCCATGGGGCTCAGGTGTCTCCTGTTGGCCAACAGGCTGGCCTGGAGCTCAGCCACCTAGGACCCCATGTATCCTGGCATTCTAGGCCTGGGGTGATGCAGACAGATTTCCTCAGCCTCCACTTCTGCCTTGAAACACTCCGTCCCTCCTGTGGTCCCGGGGCCTGGCTTGGGCTGCATGTGTGCATGCCTGTGTGTGTACTCACACATGGGTGCAGTAGGGAGGTGGAGGTGAGGAATGCCTGTGCCACCCCTTGTTTCTGTCCAGGCCTTTCTCAGGGTCTCTGCCTGGGCCAGCCCCGGGTAGGGGGGAGCTGGGCAGGAGGTGGAGCCTTCTGCTGGCAGGCGCCGCCGTGGACAGCTGTGCTGTGTTGGTGCCTCTACCCTTGCTCTGCGCAGTGTCAGGGCCTGGAGCCAGACAGCCCCATTATTTAGTTGCTGGGACTGCTGGGAGGTGGGGAGGCTAGACTGGGGGAGTGTGGGCTGAAGGGAGAGACACGAGGTGCCTGGGGCTCACTAGCCCTGTGCCCCTTGAAGTCAGGCCTGGGATTAAGGTGGAATTGGGGCCAGAGCCCAGTGGTGTGAGGCTGGCTGGTGGTAACAGCCCCACAAGGCCCTGGGGAGGCACCCCAGGCAGCAGGTGCTGGCTGTGTCCACACCTGTGCTCCCACATCGCCATGGGGGCTGTGGCTCCTCCTCTGCCAGTCCTCACAGAGTCCCTTCTCTCTGTCCCCTGCATCCTCTCTGCTCTTTGTTCCTGCCTCTGCTCCCTGCTTCCCTGCCACTGTGCTCAGCCAGCCTGACTGTGCCCACCTTCTCCTGCTCCGCACATCTCCCTGCCTTTGTCTCCTGCCTGCCTGGTTGACTCTCTGTCCCTTGGTCTTTATCTCCTCTCTGGTGCCTCCCCCTGTCTTCTTCCCTCGCCTCAGCATCCCGGAGCCTTGCTCCTTGCCTCTCCCCCTCTCTCCCATTGTCCCCCACCCCTTGGAGCCTCTATCTGGAAGGCTCTGTCTGACTGCTCATACCTCCGACTGGCCTGGCCTGGCTCCATGTCCCTGTGTCCCCGGGAGCTTGTGCGTGGGTGGGGACGGGGGTGTCTCTGGAGAAGAGTCTATTGGCTTCTCCACTCCAGCTGCAGGCCGGTTGCCATGGTAACAGGGTCAGAGGGCCCCCACTGCAACAGCTGATGTTGTGGCCGTTGGGAGGGGGTGGGGACCTGCTGTCCAGGCCTGCTCCCCAGTGCACTGTGCCCAGGGCCTCAGAGGTGGCTCCACACCCAGTGGGCTTCTGTCCCTGGCCTTGGACCCCAGCCTCCCAGGTGCTCCGGCAGGCCTCAAGCCTCAGACTGCCTTGAAATCCTCAGTACCTCCTGTGATCAGCCCCACCCCTCTGGGCCTCCTGCCCTTCTCCATCCCCCAAGGCCATCTGTCCTGTCTTCTTCCTCGCCTTCCTTATCCCTTCCTGTGCCCATTCCTTTAAATCAGATGCCCTGCTCTGTCACCACCACGCCTCACCTTCTCCCTCATGGCTGACCCCTCCCCAGCTCAGACACCCACTCTTTGCTCCTTTTCAGCCGCCTAGGTCTGAGCTGGGGATGAAAGCAGCTTTTCCTCGAAGGGAATCCTTGAGGCTGGGAAGGCAGGTGGGACAGGGATTGGTGCGTAAGTGGGTTTTGTCTTCTTGAGATAGGAGGTAGACCAGAGCGATCCCAGAGGACAGGGCTTAGACACAGGAGCATTTTTCCTGTGGGACTGAAGCTATCAGGGGAGTGCCCTTCATCCTGGGGACAGGGATGTTCCTATCCTTTTGGCCAAGGCCTGGTGCAGCCTGGAGACAGGGCCAAGTGGGAGAATCTGCAGGGCTGCCAGATGCGGGCACAGGGGCCCCGGGGGTCCGTGGGGGCCCTGCCTCCGAGCAAGTTGCCTCTTGCCCTATAGCACCTTCCCTCCACATTTCCCTTCTCCAGCTGGATCAGAGGCCTGTTGGAGGGGCTCCACAGGGGTCATTCCTGAGCTGTGGCTGTCTGTCCTGGTCTGCTGGGGCTGCAGTCTTCCCATCCCAGGCCTGCTCCAGCGGTGAGGCAAGCATGACACAGTTGAAGGGTGCTATCTACTTCTCCACCCACCCTGGGGTCTGGAGAGCGGTGGGAGGGCGGCTTCTCCGTGTTGTGTCTTCTGCAGCCCCCGGAGAGGAGCTATGTAAATATTTGTGAAGAGCTGTCTGGGATGGGAGCAGAGTTTGATGGTGGCCTTGGGCTCTGGGGAGGGGGGCCGTGGGGCAGCAGAAGGGCCAGCTTGGGGGTGTGAGATGCGGGGAGACTGGGCCTCTTTTCTGCCCAGAGGTGCCTTCCTGGGTGGGGTGATTTTGGAGGTTCCAAGAAAGCCCATCACGTGTCGGTATTTCCCTGAAGGGTTCCTGAAACTCCTCCCTTAGAGAACTTCTGCGTTTAGAATGCTCCTTTTTCTTTAAAAACACGTTGTCTCTCATTGCCGCCTCCCAGTATAGAGACAAAAAGTATTTAGCCCTTTAGTGTGAGGGAGTTTAACAGAACTTCCCTCCGGTCGTGGGCAGGAGGGCAATGGGAGTCAGGGTCAGTAGAGGAGGGAGGGGTGCTGGGACAGGTGATGAATGTGGGGGGCTCCCCTAAAGTCCCCTCCATCCCCTTAGTCCTGCCCATGGAGATCTCTATGCTGTGGCCTGTGGTTGGCCTCAGATAAACCCCTCTCCTTTTTGGGTGCTTGTCCAGGATGAGAAACACCTTTAGGAGCCAGACAGCGTCTTCCCCTTGGTCCTCCGCCTCCTGCAGTGCTGGAGAAGTTTCCCTGTCTGTCTCCCCCCACCAGGCCTTGAACTCTACGCGGGTGGAGAACAGCCCATCTGCTT